ATTGATAAAAAGCAAAGATCACACGATCTCAACAGCCTTCAGATTTAAAAGCAATTAGCTATCAAGCTTACAGGAGCAGTCCAACTCTCAAGAAAACAAGCAGAACTCAAATTTCTGACTTTAAGTCTAGAGAAGCGGCTCACAAAGAAGAAAACGAGATTTCTCTAGTTGCAAATGCGATTCAGCTCAGCAGAATAAAAAAGAACTCAGATTTTTAACGTTACAAATTCAGTTCATAACAGATGAACTAGACAGAAGTCAGGTTATTCATCATATGGAAACCTCAACAAATGCTCACAGACACCTTGATGTCTTAAGCTCATCAGAATAGCTTATAGGTCTTCCTCAATCAAGTAGAACATGTATTGAAGTGCAATTCCAGACCATCAACTGCCAATCCAGCCACTTTCATCCAGTCCAGATTGGGGAATTTTCAGTTCAAACAGAACAAAGACACCATACTGGTGTAATCTCATGCAGATAGTCTCCATAATAGGCAGAATAGACTCAAATTTTCAGTTCTGCCCATTTTTCAAGCCTCTCCATAGCTCAAACTGATTATAGCTATGCCAATTTCAACATTGGTATCGATTTCTTGCTAATCTTTGTTAGTTGAAGGTGCTAACATGCAATTTCAGTACAGATAGATCCAGTCCAGCCTAAGTAACAGATGAGAATCCATGTAGAAATTTTAATCCAATGTTCTGATGTCTTCCCAGACTTGACAGTTTCTTTAATTTGTTGTATAATAAATAGTTCTCCTTGAACTCGTTTGTTTTATTTTTCAAACACGTAGTTTTGGCTAAACTTACCAGTTTTATTGTGGGGAATGATAAAGTCCTCACCTGTCTGAGGCGGGAAAAGAACTTACTTAGGAGATAGTCCTCACCCAAATTCACAATCACTTGGTCAAAACCTGGAGCGCAAGTTATTACATTTTACAATATGTTAGGGATTTCTAACCGCTAACAGTGGCACGCTTAAACATAAAAGAAAGTTGACTTGTTGACCACAAATGGTTTTCAAGTCAATGAGGAACTTTTACCCTACCATCGCAGACACTACATCAAAACGGGTAAACATATATATTTTGCACTACTCCAAGGAAAAGAAGATTATGATGACCATGAGGATACTGGAACTTAGGCGACCATAAAAAAAAATATTTATTTCGAAAAGAATCTTTTGGTTTCTTTTTACTTGGCATGCAAAAATTATAACTTAATCCCTCTCTCGAATAAATTATTATAACTTAATATTCTATCTCTCGCATAAATTATAAGTTAAAAGGTAACACTTTGATCCCATACACTCTAAACCTATACAGAGAGCTTCCATTGAGGGAAACCCTTATAGGGCATACTCTGCATCTTATTTCACTAATCCAAACCATCTATTTTGTAGATATTTATTTAAAGATTATCTAGATAAAAAATCACTTGAATCCGATATCATTTATCTACTCAATTAAATTATTGAAATTTTAGTACTTTCTTGAAACACCATGTTCATTGATTTTGTAGGACACAATTAGATGTCTAAACAGTTTCCAATTTGTCTAATTTTTTGCAAGGATGATCTATGAATGAAGACCTAAAAATTAGATGGTTTGGATCGTAGAAAAAAGTTTCGTAGAATACCCTAAAGAGTGTCCCTCAAATAAAATTATTTTGCCTATATATACTTAACAATTGATGAGGTTAAACGGCATTATTTATTTTGCGGTACTCCAAGGAAAAGATAAAGAAGATGATGCCGACCATGAGGATACGTACTGGAACTTAGGCGATCATAGAAAATAAAATGCTTATTTCGGAAAGACAATCTTTTAGTTTATTTCTTATTACTTAGAATGTAAATAAAATTCATATCTAGCTAGATCTATCTCTTGCATGCATAAATTATTATAACCTAATATTCTATCTCTCGTCTCTCGCATTGATTATAAGTTAAAGGTAACAATTTGATCCCAAAACACGAGCTGCCGGTTCAGCGCTGAGGCCGCGGCCGTGGCCGTCCCTTATAATCCGTTGGATGTGATGAGCCTTGAATAGATGGTGAGGAGTCGGACGCTACATAGTCAGGATCATCTTTAGTTTCTTCATCAGAAGCTGATGTTGGTGGTGTAGCTGGTGCAGCCCTCTTAGAAACGGCACTACGTCTCATCACGGAAAAGGGGCTTCTACTTCCCCACCCTGCCACCGCCGCCGCAGATGTCCGTGGGAGGGCTGATGTGGATGGCGGCAGAGGTGGTGCATCTTTGATTTCATTGATCGGGGGCTTCCTCGTACTAGCTTTCGTTCTCGCAAAGCTGTGGCGGTGGCCGCCTTCAATGGTACTTCTAACTCTAACAGCTGGATGCGTGGGTTGGATTCAATCCCTTCAATGCTCTCGAGTGTACGCAAATTATCATTAAGATATTCGCCGTTGGAGAATCTTGGTGCTTGCTCTGGCTGTGCCGAAGCTGTGGCGGTGGCCGCCTTCAATGGTACTTCTAACTCTAACAGCTGGATGCGTGGGTTGGATTCAATCCCTTCAATGCTCTCGAGTGTACGCAAATTATCATTAAGATATTCGCCGTTGGAGAATAGGGCTTGCTTCCTTTCACTTATTAGTAGCGAAAATTCAATATGCCGCTTTATAAATCCCACATTCACAGACTTGTTTGCTCTAATAACTAGTTCGTCATTATGCCGCACCACAATCAACTTGCGAGATGTCCTAAATAAAATGATCAATAAAACCTCAAAATAAGGATTTGATTTTTTTTAATAAGCAATTAAGAAGAACTGTTTGAGAATGGGTAATTAAGTCGCATAATATACGGGTCTTGCTTTGGATTTTCACAAGCTTGCAATTCAGGGAGTAACATATTATTGTAACAACAAAAGAAAAAGTAGGATACATACCGCAAGCTCTCCCCCCCCTCGCTTTGTATGCCTTCCTTGGCTTCTGCTCTCGGACGTTGATTCTCCTCCTTGCGAACTGCGTTACCGACGTCATTGGCTGCTAGTTCATCCTCCTCCTCGTCAACTACGTTACCGCCATTGGCTGCTACTCCCTCCTGGGGTTGATTCTCCTCGCCAAACTTGTAACAATTTCCTGAATTATCCACGTAGTATGGGGAAATATTGGATAAGGCTGCTGCGTCAAAATCCACTGACTCTCCCCCTTGTTCATCCATTTGATAATTATCAAGTTCACTAGCCCAATCATCCGTCCACTCGCTTAGTACTAACCCGACTTCATTGGTTGCTAGTTGATCCTCCTCCACGCCAACTGCGTTACCGTCATTGTCTGCTACTCCCTGAAGTTGATGTTCCTCCAATTCAACGTCGTCTGGCCACGGAATTCCTGGAAGGTCTTCCGCTCGGTCTATGACTTCCACCACTCCAGCCACATCAGGTAAATGACTAGCCCAATGTCCAATCGTAGCATCATCAAATTCGGGGAGGGGTAAAGGTGATTGTGGTGCTCCTCCTTGTTCATCCATTACCGTAAGTAAAATCACAAACTGCGAAGGAAGAACGGAAATAGAAGCAGCAAGAACTTAAGCAAGGAGATCGACAAGTTTGCACTATCTTAAACAAGGAAAAAGATGATCGAGAAGCTTGATTGTGTGCATGCACTATATATCTTAAACCTGGAACACAATGAGATAGAGAGGGCTGTATATATAATAGATCTGTGATCAACCACCATTAATTCCTTATTTGTTTTGGGATAATAGCTCCTGACTTAGCCTTTTTGATATCCCAGTTTGTTTTGGGATAGTTGGTCCTGACTTGCCCTTTTTGATATCCCGTTTTGTTTTGGGATAGTAGGTCCTGACTTGCCCTTTTTGATATCCCATTTTGTTTTGGGATGGTCGGTCCTGCCTTGCCCTTTTCGATATCCAGGGGATAGTATAGCTCCTCCTCACTTGCCCTTTTGAATATCCAGCTTGGTTTGGGATATAATAGCTAGCTCCTCCTGATTTTGGAGTAAATATCAAACTATCCCAAATAAGTCTCTTCAATGGTTGTGCACGTACCAAAATAAGATTTGCCAACAGCGCTGCGGTTCATATAAGCCCGCATTTGCGCTAATAGTTTGTTTTGGGCTGTTTTTGAGAGAGAGAGAGAGAGAGAGAGAGAGAGAGAGTTTTTCTATTTGAAAATTTGAACCCAGCATTGGTCTTTTCAGTGTTCCAAAATTGCCCATATATGATATACCCACACCAAATCCAACCCTTTCAAATTGAAACCCAGGAAAACCTAACCCAGTCACCGCTCTCCTGCCGCACTGCCATTGCAACATGGGATGACATGTTTTCCTTTGCTTAATCTTAATCCACATGAGAGCAAAATTCTTTTTTCTTTTTTCTTTCTGATCTTGGGCAATATATCTGGATTGGATATTATTTGAACGCAAAAACCTAGCCACATTTATAGCCTTGACCTCGGGCAATATATCTGGATATTTGGGGAGCTGCACTGCATGAAAGCCTTTTGCATTGGAGTCAAATAAATTTGGGAATTATACTCTCAATCTCAACGCGAAAGCCATGTAGAGGCAGTATTATCAAAGCAAATCCAACGTGGAATTACCGTAATGTTATATTTAAATAAAAAAACATATTTCTCCCAGCATCTCGCTGCACTATGCTGCATTAATTAAAAATAAAACAAAAGCTGTATAGGTGATAAATAAAAAAAGGCCGTCGTTAATACAAACAAGGGACGACCCCACAAATAAAAAACTGACTTGTCCTCCTTTCATTTATGTTAGAGTCTTTTTTCCTTAAATATTTCATTTATTGTTCTTCAGGCTAGATGGAATAAGAAAGAAAGGCAAAAGCTGGTTGAGCGCTTTAATGATCGGATGCCCTAAAGTTAAAGAGGGCCAACTGCACTGCACTCTGATTTGATAGCTAGATAATAATACTCTACAGTAGGTAGATGATATTGCTTAGTGAAGGATTAAACACGTCATTACATTGGAATACAACAAATTAAGCATCTCAAAAAGTAGATGATAAATTTCTCAGATGCAAAATCCATTCATCAATTCCTAGTTATTTAGTTATAGAATTGATCATCTTGTAGTGTAGTGTAAAATCATGGATTAAACGACCACAACTGGAGCAGCGGAACCCAACATTCATTTTCGAGATTGGTCATCATAACCTCAACGCCTCAACACCTTTAATCGCTTGAATGTAATTTGCAAGCCTCCTTACACGAGGTGCCGGAGGAATATTATGAACAATGCAGTCTTCCACAATCTTCCTGACTAGCTTCATTCCTCGAATTGGACCCATAACGGCAACCATGTCATCCTATTCATTTACAAGCAAATAAAAATCATTAAAAGTCATAACTCTCTTCTCACTCCACCTGGACATGTGGGGAGACCAGATAAAATAAATTTCCAAACACAACAATCAAAAGTAGGAAAAATAACACACTAACCACTGGGCAAAGATAAATGTTACAGCATGTCAGTTTTTCAAGTTCCTGCATCCCAATTACATTGTAAAAACAAAAGAACAAATACAGAAACGACAAACAAAAAATTGTAAATGTGATCTAGGACACTTTTATGCACCTGTACTGGGAGACTCATGAGCAGTTTTTTCCTAGAAACATACTTATCCTGCACACACACACATTACAAGATATTTTAAAAAAAAAAACATATAACTAAGCTTTTGCATATGTCCAGCATAACGAAGAGTTGTTGGTCATAATTTTTATAGGATAGAGAGCAGAACACCAGAAAGTCCATATTCCTCATTATTGTCACATTAGGTCAAACAACAACTCTAAATGCCATGTTATAGTACTCCTGAAATTTAAAGATGCTGCTTCATAACTACATAAGAATGCTTATAAGAACATAAACAATTGTACGAAATAAAAAATGGAAGGAAACTTAAGAAATACCTACCCGCTTGATATCAAATTTTTTGCAAAGCCCATCGAAAACATACCCAGTGTAGACGAGGTAGCATGGCATTCCATTCAGTACTTTTACTGCCTGGATCAAAATGATGCACACTGAAATCAGAAGTTTAATAAATAGAAGAATTCTTTTTTGTTTTTTTTGTTTTTCCTTTAAACACTTCAATGAGAATAGAAAACCTTGGAGGATTCAAGCAAAAAGGAAAGCCAACGTAAGTTTTTATAATTTAAGTTAGATAAATTGAACATAAGCTTTTCATTGAGATGTAAATATTCTAACATAAAATTAACAACATATGTAAGCAATTAGCATTCAGCGTCCAAATATGATTGGCATGCCGTTGCCTTGAGGGAGAGTTAGCAAATCAATGAACTTGAAGAATAAGATAGGTTACAGATAAGAATAAATAACATAAGATTTGACATTTGTACCCGAAGTGGAGGAACTCCTGCTGACAAAAGTCGAATAAGATATCTAGAGTCGAGAATAGCATATGAGTCCTTAGCCTTGGTTGTCGTGAATGTGATGAAATACTCATCCTAACCATGGTTATAAAAAAAACTTAATATGTGCATAACTAAAAATACTCAATATGAGCACAAATTTAAAAGCAACATTTATTATAACATACCACATCCAATGCACATGAAATGCCATACTCTTCTAAAGCAGACTTTAGCACCGGCCAAGCTTCTTGCAAATCTTTTGCTGTGAAAAAACAACGCCAAGACTCATAGGTAAGAAAGCTTTGTTCTTTTACAAAATTATCATAGTAATAGTCATATTTAAGAAAACTCATGAATGGAATAACTTAGATGGAAAATTAAACAGAAAATAGGTCACAAAGATGAAAGAGTTAATTTCATACACAACAGCCTTGACAATTTGAAATAGTCTAATCCCTTTTATTTCAATTTCAGAGTCGGTTGTTTTACTTCATCTGAGTGTTCCAAACACAGCAAGGAAGAATTGCAACACCCATGTTTACCATAATTTTTATTTTCATCAGACATCTATGATCAGAATGAAACAGGTGCATGAGAGAGACAATATATTAAAGTGATCAATGATTTCTTCTAATTATTTGGCTCTTCTAGAGTCTTCTATCTTGCTCACAGCCAACTCCCCCACCCCAAGTAGCGGGCTGCTGCTGCTGCTTCTTCTTCCGTGAGTTACTGCTGCCTCAGATAAATCTTATTGCCCAGGCACCTAGTCTGGAATTTTTTAATATAAAAGGAAAAAGAAAAATAGTCTTGGTTTTTGTCTGATTTAGGGTTGTAAATTGGCATAATTTAATCAGGGTTTCAGATTTACTTTAATTTAGCCATTAAAACTAGGCTACGAATTTCATCCATCAATCTCATAATCATTACTAGAACAAAATAAGAAAACGAAATGTTATTTGCAGTAAATTGATGAGAAGGGCAACAAAAAGGAAGAATAAGAAGAAGAGAGAAAGATACCCCTGCATATATTAATGGGCATACAGAGAACGCTCAAATCATATGGGCAGTAAGACTTGGCCTTCATGTTGTAGGCGATTATCTCCTCCATGTTGACCTTGTTTGTCATCGTAGCTAATTGTTTGGATACTTGTTCAATCCCCAGCCTACGCACAGATAAAGAGAATGTTTGGGTAGTTGTTGAAAGCGTATGACAGGCAGAGAGAAAGAGAATGTTATCCTAGGCACAAACACAGAAAAAGAGAATGAGTTTCTGTCAACGCCGTGAAAAGTAAGAACGTGTTTTTGGTGGGGTATTTATACGAGGGTGACGTATAATGGATTTTGATGGGCTTTTGATGATTTTGGTCATTGCTTTTGATGAGGGTGACGTATAATCTATTTCTTCTTTTTTCCTTATTTTTTTGGGATAATAACTCCTGACTTGATTACCCTTTTTGATATATCGATCCCAGTATGTTTTGGGATAAATATGAAGGCTGATGATTAATGTGTCAGAATAAAAGGTTAAGCATTTGGCAATATCGGTAAACCAACAAAGTTGGTCATAGTACCAGAGTAGGAGACCTTGAGTTCAATTCCCTGCAATTACAACCTCTCAATATAAGTTGATTTTGCACATGACGGGCTTGTAGAAATCCACAAGGTTAGGAGTCTTAAGGGGTCTGTTATCTTCAAAGTTATAGTTGTGCTTGGCTATCAGGGAACATCCATATCTATGTGGCTGTGCACTAAATTTCTGTTCAACCTGTCTAAATTGTCTTATTTGTCAAGTCGTGCTAGTTTGATGAACCGCTGGCTGCAAATTAATAAGGACACAAACTGTGAAAAATGCTACTGCTGCTGTAATTTCGCATCGGCATTAACATTCTCATACCTTAGTATGGCTGAGACTATTTTTTCTTATTTGTTTGGTTGCATGTATGTAATCTTTTTGAGAATAATTCCTTCACAGTATCTAATAATGGTAACATATCTTGCTTTACAGAGAAGCAGAGGAAGATCAATGATATTTTGCCAGGGAAAAAGGATGGTGACATTTTTCAAAAGGTAGGGATATGGACTAAATGCAATTCTGCACTTCATTAATATTTGATTTCCCTTCTATTTGACTATACTTGAGATGTGTCATGACCATCTGAAGTGTCGCTTGTTGTAACCCCCCCTTTCACGAGGAATAGGTGTTGTTTCTTAATGAGTTGAAGAGGAAGAAGATAATCAGAACAACAATCAGTAGGACGTACCATATTCACTATCAGAATGAATTGAATTAAACAGGATATACTCTTCAACCTGAACTACAAAGGGGCCGATTGGCAATTAATTTCACAAACATATTGCAAGTTTTATAAGTTTACACAATCGATCTCCTGTTTTTACTTGTTCACGTGATCAACTACTGATTCTGGTACAAATTAAGGTGAAAAACGAATAATGCGCTCTTCAGAGCCTATTCCTCGTTCATTCACATAGGAGGAGTTCATTTATAAGAAAAGAAAAAAGAGAGTGGAAAATCCCGATATCAAACAAGTGATGGTCCTAATGGGTTTAGGAATAGCGAATATGCATCCTTGATCATCAGGGAAAGGGTCTTTCATGGAAATCGGTGATTGTTTGTTAGCAAATATTGTTTTTTTATTTATAGATAATCTAGGTGAAGAATTAGAAAGCTCGTTTGTTTTGCTTATAACAGTAATATTTTCTTACAGATAATCTTTACACAGCTGTTTGAAATCCAGGTGAATTAAGAGTTGGAAAACTGGTTCAAATTGTCCTCTAGGTTTAGGAATTGTTAATGCTTCTTTATTGAGTATCAAGTAAAGGGTTTTACTTGTAAATAAACAGTAATATGTGTTCTCCATAACTCCAAGATCCCCTCAAATACAAGTAACAATATTGTTTGTTTCAGAAACTAATTGAGTCACCAAAACTCACAATCAATATACTTAAGCACTAATGAGGGCTAAACGACATTATATTGTTTGAGCCTAATTTCTGAACACCAGCCCAGTCATCTCTTGGGCTATTTCTATTGCTATAAAAAAACTATGTGCTCTATTGGTTTATTTTACCCTTTAAATTGATAAAAAGCAAAGATCACACGATCTCAACAGCCTTCAGATTTAAAAGCAATTAGCTATCAAGCTTACAGGAGCAGTCCAACTCTCAAGAAAACAAGTAGAACTCAAATTTCTGACTTTAAGTCTAGAGAAGCGGCTCACAAAGAAGAAAACGAGATTTCTCTAGTTGCAAATGCGATTCAGCTCAGCAGAATCAAGACGAACTCAGATTTTTAACGTTACAAATTCAGTTCATAACAGATGAACTAGACAGAAGTCAGGTTATTCATCATATGGAAACCTCAACAAATGCTCACAGACACCTTGATGTCTTAAGCTCATCAGAATAGCTTATAGGTCTTCCTCAATCAAGTAGAACATGTATTGAAGTGCAATTCCAGACCATCAACTGCCAATCCAGCCACTTTCATCCAGTCCAGATTGGGGAATTTTCAGTTCAAACAGAACAAAGACACCATACTGGTGTAATCTCATGCAGATAGTCTCCATAATAGGCAGAATAGACTCAAATTTTCAGTTCTGCCCATTTTTCAAGCCTCTCCATAGCTCAAACTGATTATAGCTATGCCAATTTCAACATTGGTATCGATTTCTTGCTAATCTTTGTTAGTTGAAGGTGCTAACATGCAATTTCAGTACAGATAGATCCAGTCCAGCCTAGCATAAAACACATTTATAACCCAACCGGCAGCATGCACAATATAATCTCATGCAATTATGTAAATGGCCTCCGGCCTTCAAATGATTCTAGCAGAACTGCCCAATAATAATTTTAAAATAACTTAATGCATCAAACATGCGTATAACAAATTCAAAATCTATTTATGCACACCTTCACTCACTCAGTCTCCAGGACCAATCTCAATTCAACCAAGTTTCAGGACCAACAACAAGGTCCGAACCAATCTCAATAAGACCACCTAAGTGGGGTCTAATCTGTGGCTGCACCTAGTAACTTCAGGCTGCCTACGTACCCTTACTGAGGGATCAAGCCACACGTAGCTCTTTCGTATCTATCCTGGCTCCTAATATCAAATGGACCATTACAGCCACACAAATTCATATATTCTAGGATTTATCCAGCACAACCCACCAAACACAATCACAATATCACCCCTCATACGACGGGACGCACCCGGCCTCGTATGGGGCCTGTCAACACGCCGGCTAATCCAAAGACGCGTGCGACCTCACCACTGGGCCTGACTACATTCTCACCAGCCCTCACACAATCACATCTCCCGTCATACGTCGGGACGCACCCGGCCATGTATGGGGTCTGTCAACACGCCGGCTAATCCAAAGACGCGTGCGACCTCAC